GACCTACGGGCCCAGCCAAAAGTGCAGAAGGAAAAAGCAACCCACTGGGTATGGCAGCAGGGGGTTGTGCCTGACAGCGGGGCAGGCAAGAGAAATCTAGGCGTGATGATTGGCAGTCTGAAGACCAGTACACTCACCTCCTACATTTAGTTTGGATTTGGGGAGACAATGGAGAAAAGAGGGTTATTTTTAGAGGGTAAGAGATTCAAGAACACATGAGGTTTTGGAAGGATGGGAGTGTTTTAACTTGTAGCTGACCTCTCGCTTAGCTTCTTCTCAGGTAGGACATTGAAGGCTGACATTCATCCTTCATCATTCCTGCCTGTTGTCACAAACAGTTTCTGAAATCTAGCACAGGCTGTAGCTACCAATGGAACTTGCCAAATGATACAGCAAACGACCAGGGCTTAGCTAACATGCCTATACTCTGGAGTACAGATTAGAATTCCCTTGTATGCTTGAACCATGCCTAAATCACTGGGGTTTATGGATCATGCTATAAATTCTCAATCAGCATCACCAAAACAACGTCATACAACCTTTAAAAAGCTCATCTGCGAGGCAAAAAAAACCTATTCTGCAGAGCTATCTGGCTCCTGCTTTTCACCAGAGTAACTTGATGTCAGAGTGACTAATGAAGCAATCAGCTGGATATAGCTCACATGGTGTTTTAGCACTCTGATTTCCTCTTTTTATAGTATGTGAATAATAACAACAACAACAAAAAAGCTAAGGCAAATTACGTAAGATTTTCAAAAGAATTTCTTATTTAGTTGCTTGATTTGAAAAGATAATAGCTAGGAGGGGTTTAACCACAATTTTTACTGTCATCAGCGTCAATGCTGAGCACTTCTCAAACCCTATCCTACATAATTGGTGTACGTAATTTATCACTGCACATACTGTACGAGCAATGAACAAATCTTCCTTCAAATACTGAAATAATCAGTTCCAGCTGTGCCACTCACAAGGCAACAATAGCAACAAAGCACCACTGTAAGAGGCAAGGAATCAAAAGTATCATTTTTAAACGTAAATCAAGAAACCTGAACCACAGGCTATACCCCTATTAATATACTGTGCAGGGAAAGAAGTCAGAGACAGGAACATTGCAACCAGTGCCTTGATTCTGCCATAACATCTTCCTTCCACCTCGTCCATGCAAGCAGCATGCTATCACTGCAGTCAACAACTTGCAGATTGGGCAGTAGGAGCCAAGAATCACAGAATGGCCGAGGTTGGAAGGGACCTCTGGAGATCATCCAGTCCAACCCCCCTGCCAAGAAGCAGGTCACCTAGAGCATGTTGCAGAGGATCACATCCGGGAGGGGGGTTGAATATCTTCAGAGAAGGAGACTCCACAGCCTTTCTGGGCAACCTGTTCCTATGCTCTGTCACCCTCAAAGTAAGCTAGCTACTGATATATTTGCTTTTCAGTCTATCTTCCTCCTCTTGGAGTCTATGAGCAGTAAACACTGCTATAGCATAGCTGATAAAGTCTACAGTGTGCACAATTAGTATCAGATGCACATGTATTGCAGCATTAGGGTAACAGTGGCATGGTTTATGGATATCTTGGATTAGGTCAACCAATGCAGTCGGAGAAAACAAAACCAACTTTGAGCACAAGTTAATTCTTTTCTAATGCTCCAATATATAAATTGCACATATATGTTAATGTATAAACTATTACCTTTCCTTATAAATTTTGTCTCACTAATTCACTTATATATGTATAGCAGATTCTTAATTACTTGTGTCTTTATTAATCCACTTACCATTCCTGCTGGTATGAAATGCCATTATAACAAAGGAAGATATATTTTACCATTCTTCACCAAACCTCTGTACAGTCCATCCACGATTAAGGACAAAGGCTTCCACATAATCCTTATTGATTATATTCCTTCAGGCTCATAAACTATCTTTCACTTACACTCAGTGCAAATTTTCTTCTCTCGTTAATATCTATGAGATGGGATAGTTCAGTTGCTGAGTCTCCTGGGGCTCACTCTGTATCTTTATGGCTTGTACCAGACCTAACTGACTGGATAACGAGGGAGGGATGAAGGAAATGGATGGCTGTGTGAAAGGGGAAGCCATCACCTGCCAATGCACAGCCATTCTTCAGCCAAACTTGGATCTTTTAGAATGTTCTTTTCCAAGCAAAGTGACACCTTATTCAAAGATAAATAATACATTTAAATTTTAGAAAACTGAATGCCCAACTAAAATGTTATTTCAGTAAATGAAACGTCTTCATTGCAATTTTAATGATCTAACTTAGATTTTCCTAAATGCTTCTTTTACTTCCTGTTTCACAGAAGTTATTTAAAGATGAACAGGTATGACGTGGTGCTTAGGGACATGGTTTAGTGGGTGACATTGGCAGTAGGGCAATGCTTGAACCAGATGATCTTGGAGGTCTTTTCCAACCGTAGTGATTCTGTGATTCTATGAAACGAATGAAGCAGCAAGCTTTTTCCTGCCCGAAGAGAAAACAAGCAAGAAAGTTCCAAAATGAGTGAGCAGCTGGTGGGAGTTTGGCTGCTGGCTGGGGCCAACCCATGACATACAGGAGAGAATCTAGGACAAAACTTGAAAGCAACATCTGGTTTTATAGGTGAAAAGACATTGTGGGGGGTGGGTGATGAAAGTGAAACCAGTCCCCCGTTCGCACCATGAAGGAAATACAGACCTATTACCTAAGTTATGCTGTGGGGCTTATGCACTCTCTCCCACTCAACTTGAGCAACAATATTGCCAATAAGCATATATAATTACTTGCTTGGATCATTTTCAAATATGGAATTGTGCCATGGAAGGTATAATGATTTCTGTATAAATAGTAATTATTTCTAAACAACAAGTGTAGACATGATAACCATCTTTGAAATTGCTAGATTTAGGGCATGCTGAAGGATGACTTGGAAAAGAGACTGATAAGTTCAAAAATTGTCTGCAGAGAAAGCACTTCATCACTGCACGATCATGTTTTATTCTCTCTAGTTGTCTCCTCACACCAATCTTATTCTGGGTTTCTAATCTAACAGTTCTTTCACCTGCAACAAGACAGACCACTCCTCCTTATAATATTCATCCTCTTTTTCATATATATCATCTACCTTTCAGCCTGACAATGTTGGTATGTTGGGATCTTCTGGTAAAGAAGCTTCGATGTTGCTGGTGGCCACACGTCTAATCTAATTCTATTTTTGGTAGCATCCGATTGTACAGGAGTTATACAAGACTTGATCCATACAAAACTCAACTTGTGAAGTCAACCATTCAGATCTGTGGAGGTTGTGGAAAGTGGAGATCTCTTTGTAAGAGATCTGGCAAGAGATGGCAACAGATGGCAGCTCAACTTCTCAGGTCCCATCATTTTTTTGTGGGAAGATATGAGGCTGCGCATGTCTGTAGGTCCCTGGCTGACCTGTGGAAAAAGAGCCTTCATAATCCCATGAGCCTTTTTTTGCACTTTCCGTGGCAAATGTATGCTACCCATCCAGGGTTTCCACCCAGTGCACTCCTATTTATAACAATTGTCTTTAACCTGTCGATTACTGTAGATTCCTTCCTTCACTGTTTAATGTAGCTATACCAAGTGTTTTAACTGACTTTTGAAACTCAGCAGCAAAGCCCTGTATGTTGTTTTTGGTCCTGTGGTTCTCTGGTAGATGTCACACAGTGCATGCTCCCAACTCACCCAGCATTGCAAAGCGCCTGAAGTTGGCAGAGCTAGGTTAGTAAAAATTAGGCTTCCCACATGCCTCTACAAATCATGGTGTTCTCTTTTGCCCCCGGTCCAAAAGAATGTCAGACACAAGCCTGCATGCTAACTACCAGAGAAAATTCCCGAGGTCTTCCTGGCAGTTTGAAGAGTATTACATAGCACAGCTTCTTACTATTGAAACACGGGTTCAGTGATAGGTCTCCCAAAGGGGTATGTGTATCTGTGCGTATCCTTACAGGTATACTTCAAGAAGAGTGACAGACAGTATGTCCTGTGCTAAATGCAGCTCATCTGGGGGGAAAATATGTTGCTTTAACTGTAAGCAAACCGAAGAAAACAACTATTAGAAACTGAAATAAATGTGGTCTCCAGGTACATCTTAACCTACAAATTGATGCATAAAGGTAAGACACTCCTGCTAAGATGCATCTTTTAGGGACATCAGCTTCTCTTCATTTCAGTATGCACTTTGACATGGGACCTGAAGTAATGTGTGTGTGAGAAAGACAAGAAGCACGGAGGAGAGTTATTGCAGCAGAATGCACAGTGAGAGGACGAAGAAGGTGCAGTTTTTTTCCTCTCTGTATCTTTTATTTCTGAACCTTTTGGTGACTCAAAGGTTGGTCAGGTTTGCTAGATGATCTTTATGTCCCCTATTTACATCCTTACCACAGAAGAACCACGCATATTCCTGGAGCTGACACTTCACAGAAATTCAAGCACAACTAAATCCAAGATAGCTGCAACCCAATCAGAGGACTATAAAAGAAAGAACTGGGGAGGAGGCCTTGGCAGTAAAAGTACACGAGAAACGGGAGCCCACCCAAAGACATTCAAAGGTCATTTGTGACACTCTTGGAGATTGCCTGTGGGACACCATTCCAGAAGGGCATATTCATCGCATGAATCCTGTGTCATATCTGACAGCCCTATGTTTAAACACGTGGACAACTGAATTTAACCCCAAAGCTTCCTGAAGCAAGAAGACAAGGACAGAGGAGGAGATTCAAAGTAGAAAAGCTATTAATGGGACAGGAAGATAGAAGCAGTTGTATTACCTTTGCAATATTTAATTGTATTGTTATCTGAAGTGCAGGAACTACCCCACATGGTTTCAGTACAGCGAACTCAAACCTCTATCTACCCTTCAAGTGTGTATGCAAACTAGATATACCCTTGCCAGCTAAGCAACATTCACAGTCCCTTCAAGCAAGCTAAAATGTATGTGTCCATGCAAGTGTTGGAATTTATTTCCCCATAACTTACGGGTGGAATGCATTTCTCCAGTCCCAGATTCTACAAGAGACTTGCACGCACCTCAGCAACGTCACTGGCTTCTATGGCCGCAATTGGCATGACAGTCTGGGAGAAAGTGTTCTCATTTCAGAAAGTGATAAACTACCTCTATCTATCCCAATGCTCCTTTATTAAACTCTAATGTGTATCTGGGCCTTGGAGGCTAAGTAGAGCTTCTATTAACCAATATTACCATTTCAAAAGTATTTCAGATTACATATAGGGTCTGTAAATGCTTCAAGTTATTACAGCAGTATTAAGTAAATTTAATATATTTTTTATTATTTTTTAAATAATTAGCTTTTATTTAGAAGTCTTTCGTATTTCCCAGCCTACAGAAAGCCATGGAGGTATGCTGCATACCTTTGAAGTCTTCTAAAACATGCAAAACATTTAAAAAGAAACTAAGTTATAAACAGTATATACCCATAACATCAGCTAATTTTAAATGTAGTCAGCATACTGCATGCAAGAAATATGTCATAAAGGAGCATATTTAAGAAATGAGAATCAGTTTGGAAATGTAATGTGAGCTTCTTAGATTAAAAATAATTCTACTCCTAAATGAGGAATAAAATGCATATGCTGCATACCAGGAATCAAACCTGGCCATGAACCGGGGGTATGTGACATTTCCATCTTCATCAAGGGGGATTCTGTCAAGTAGCAGCTCAAACTCTTCATCAGTAATCTCCACACCAAACCTGAAACAAACAGCAGTTAGCAGCACTGGCTGGCGGAGTTCACATTTGGGTCAACAGTACCCACAATACCCCGAGCATATGGCTGCCATTAACTCTTTGTTACTGCTTCGGTCCTCCAGATCAAGAGCACCACGTGAATATCAGAGGTTAATCAGGGTTTTGATCGCCTCAGCATTCTCAAAGAAAGAAATTCTACCCTAGAGTCCTGGCATTGGTGAGGCACAGAAATAGAAATACTAGCATATTGAACTGTGTGCAATTGTCCTCTATAAAAAGTTATTCATTACACTAAAACACTGGTATTGCTTAAACTAGTTAACTCTGAAAGGCTTTTCATTTGGACTGTTTAGCATGAAAGAAAATGTAGAGAAAAACTGTCTTTTCGGGGAAACAGCTTCTTAGTGCTTTTGGAAAGCATTTCATAATGGCTTTAAAGACATTTTGCATACAAATATTTAAAAGTGGCGGTGTTTATTCATCAGCAAGAAAGTGTTTTCACCTCTCCAGAACAATCAAAACATAATCCTTGAGATACTGGCATAAACAGGAATGACTTAAGCAATAATAAAGAACAAGGCATTCATTCATCATTTTGCAAAGCTGATAAAACTCAGCTCACTTTTGGTGGGATATATTTTCTTCTCAGCAAGGCAGTGAAAGGGTTCACAAAAGGTAGTATTTATATGTTGCTTTGGTTTCATCATCATGCATTCCCATTTCACATAACTCAAGAAAAAGTTCTGTTAGAGTGCCATGTGTCTGTAACTGCATAGCAGCTCGCTCGAGATTTCTGACTCCCAGGTTTGGAGCTTGGCAAATGACTCGTTTACCCTGCTTTATGTCTTAGGAAGTGTGCTGAGGAGGGCAGATACAGCTGCTTTTTCGTTTGCCCTCAGCTGACAGTACTTATTTTACTGCCTTTCAACTTTGCTTATCTACATTCACTTCTCATTTAGACACGTGCATTTACAGAAGCTTAACGCATAAACAAAGTAAACATGCAGCATTTTTTCCCCACAAAGAATAGAAAACCTAACTTGGCTGGGGAGTTCCAGTAAGAACAAATTCTCAGGAATCCGTAACTGTTAAACAACATTGGGGGTCAAACATAAACATTAACATTGCACAGATCATTTGAAGATTAACTATTTGCACATGTGATCAATGAACAAAATCTGTTCACTTACATGATCAATTAAATGAAATCTCCTTTTTTTTGTTGTTGCTATCTCCAAATCCTTGTCTCCATCATTAGCACCAGGGGATGCCATCCCAGAAAGAAATAAAGGCTGTATGTAAGGCACAGGCAGCTTGGTACTCTGTTGAGAACCAAAGCTGGGTAAACTGGCCAACTTGTAGATCTGCAACGAGAACAGATAGATTTATTACTGTTTATTATTATATTGCTTCTCTGTGCATAGTCACACATACAGATTCTATGTAAAATAACACATGAGACCTGAGGAAGAAAAAGAACACCACTTAATACAACATGTATGTGTTTTCATAGCAAATACATGTATCTGGGGGAAAGAAAATGTTTGTTGTTGTTTTTTTTTTTTTTTTTATATTCTATATGACTATCTTCAGATAGGCAGGAGAGTAGCAAAACAACTATCTGATCAAAAAGCAAAATTAAGCTTTTTGAACATTGTAACATCGTTCTGCCGTTAAAGAATTGCAGTGATCTAAAGAATAATAAAATAATCTAAGAAATTGATCTTATCCATTTGGTCCTCTCATAGAGTAAAACTACTGAAGGGAGGCCCCACTTCTAGCCATATCATTTGCCGTTTTTGTAAATCTCAGAGGCAGATAGAAATTCACACACAGATCACTCCAGTACCTTTAGCTGCAAATAAAAAACCTTCTAGTCACTGATTAGGAAGACTTCTCTCTGGGCTCTGGCTTATATTATTTTTCTGTCTCCATAGCAAAAGATGTGTGCTCTGATTGTTCCATGTATGTGTTTGTATGGAAAATATATATATATAGTTTTTGTTTGTTTGTTTGACCAAGAAGATGTAAAAGAAGGAATGACCAAGAAATGTAAAAGGAGGGAGAAAAATCTTCACTACTTCTGGTTACCAAATGAAAACAAAAATCGATAGGAATATATGTAAGGATTTTCTTGGTACTGAACCCAACCTTATCACACCTTGTTACTGAGGATATTTCTCAACTCTATAGGTTCAGTATAGCTCTGAATAGCTGCTTACTTCATTTCACATGGAGAGGCTGACAACTTGTTGTTGGCTGGCAGCCTGAGGCAGATAGGCAGTTCACTAACACGGAATGAACCATGCCACTGTGGCATTGAGCATTTCATGTCATTGCTTTCATAGGAATGTCTCAACCTGCTCTCCATATCAAGACACGTGTAGAGGCTGCTGGAAAAAAAAAAAAAAAAAAAAAAAAAAGGTTTGGCTAAGTTCATTGCTCAAGAAAGCTATTCAACAGTCTACTGCCAAGAGGGACTTCATACACATGGAAGCACTGCATAAACACCAGCCACATACCCGACCGTCTACAAATGTATTTTATGAGAAAAATACCAGTACCATTTAATGAGCTAAATAAATAATGTCATTTCAATCAGGAGGGTGGGTCAGAATCACGCTTTCTTGAATGCTTCACCTTTCATCTCTGGTAGTCCTAAACGCCCTTCAGACTGTTTTGACTGTAGTGTTGTTGATTGCACACAACTCCTTCCTGAACCTGGCTGGGGAAAAGCAGCTGTCTGGAAAGAACCCAATGATCTCTGGGTGCCACAGTCCCTCCTAGGAGATGTCAAAGTCATTGCAATGTTGAAGCACCCCAAGCTCCCCAGGCATATCCAGGGAGCTGGGAGCTGATCCTGAAGGTCTGCTCTAAAGTATGCCTGTGTACATTTATTTTGTGGGGTGGTGAATCCTGTTGGAACAGAGGGAATCAACGCAGGGTTCTGAAGGGTGCCTCATCTCCACCTTATGTCGTATCTGCAAAGTCAGAAAATACAGAGTGATCTAAGGGAGTAAAATGGGGGAAGGGAGGAACAACGCTGCACCAACTTTGCATACTGACATTTCTTCCATTATTAAAATTCCAAAGACCTATTTTACATTACTGATCTCAGGATTTCTGGAAACATGCTGTGACTACATTACATCCTTCGTGCTCACTGATGTGGAAACAGAAAAAGCATTGAATGCAGAGTGTGTATGGCCTATACCATTTGTTATCCCAAACACTGATATTATACTTTTCATTCTGAACATCCCCCTCAAGCTTTACAAACATATCCAAGATATACAAAGGCAGTAAACAGGAGGATCAAGTGCTCCAGCACGCAAATGCAGCCACCTGAAACTAAGCAATGATTTAATCAAACAGCAACAGCACACAACAGATGAATCACTGAGTTCTCCAGGGCACATTTTCAAAGGCAGGTGCAATGGGCAGGACTTGAGAAAAAGATATCTATTAACTGGAGGGCTAAGCCTATTTAGACAGAAGCTGATGCAAAAAGCAAGGGACTGGTTAACAGTGAGGTTGAGAGAAAATGCTTTGGCAAGAAGCCCAGAACCCTGGCAAAGGGAGCACCTGCAAAAAGCCACATGTGGTTTGTCGTACCAGTACCTACATTTGCACATGCAGATTGGGAAATTGTTACTTCCATTTTATCATGTGTTTAACATCTCCAAGATCCTCAGATAAAAGCATCTCCCATCTTAAATCAAAGGGACAGAGAGGAAGACTAGGCACATTGGGAAATCCAGCAACTTCTTCAGAGAAGAGTCTTTTAATCACCTATAAAGACACCACTCCTGGCTGCCAAGGTAACAGCAAGTTTTTAAGAAGTCATTAGCAGAAGAGAGAAAAGATGCAAACAGCACAATCTCTGCACAAAGGCAATTGGGAAGAAGCACAGAGAGCAAGCAGAGAGGAAGGGCATGCTGCAGAAGCAGAAATGGCAAGACAAATAAGATAGTAGACCAGGTCAGAGGGATAAGCAAGCCTAAAACTGTGCTGGGCACTTGAAGCAAGAGATGTATATACTGATCTGATTGTACAGAGAAGTAAGTGGGAGGAATTTTCAAACAGGGCACAATATAGCCAGAAGGATAAACTAAGGGGATTATTCCAGCAGTGTGACCTCAGATCTGTCCAGGGAACAAGGCCAGGCAGAGGTATATGCAATTGCTGAGAAATAGCAGGCAGCTGTGAGGTACACGGCTGTACAGCTCCTATGTGCAAACATTTGTGTGAAAAATGTGGAGCTAATTCTGGAAATTGGTTTCTGCTGGCAGGCAGAGCACTAATTCTCTACATGCTGCATTTGCTTATAAAACATGGTTCCTCCTCAGCAAATTTTGTGCATTTTACAAGCAATCACCAGGTATCTTACCTGTGATAGCAACATTACTGAATCAAAGAGCAAAGGAATCAGAAGGATTCTCTTCTTTAGCATTTTTTAAGTAAGAAACAACAAGAAAATCTGGGTGACTACTTAAATAATTATGAAAAGGGAATTTAACAACCAACTTCAAGAAGAGTCTAAAATACTGTTTTATTGGCATAAATCACAGTTTCCAGTCCTCTCCAGAAAACCTACCCTTTTTCCACCACTCATGGCACAAACACTACAGGTGCCTGTGTGACCACATCTGCAGTGTTGGTGCCTACTTGGCCTTTCAATCCCTTTGTCAGTCCCAAGGGATTCAGCAGATGTACATCACCAGTCTACACCTGGCAGGCAGTTTTTCTGAAGAAGCAACCTAACAGGTAAAAACTAAGATTAGAATGCTGAACAAATAAAGTGTCAACTAGAAAGATGCACAGGCAGCAAGACAGGGCTTAACCCAATACCTGGACAACCCTACCAAGCTCTCCTGGCTCCATCTGTCCCCTGCCATTCAGACCCTGCTGGTAGGCAGCAAACTGCCATGGACACTGGCTCACACCAGAGGCTATTCAGAGCCTGGCCTCCACCCAATGGCAGGAAGGCAGCTAATCGCCTTCTAAAATTTGGCCCCAAAGTCTCTTGTAAATTTTTCTATTTAAACATAATCGAAGCAAGAAAATTTCACTCTGTAACAGCAGCACAAAAAGGAAAGGTAGCACCACGTGTGCCTGGCTCCCTTTTGTTTCCCTATAGAAAAGAGGTCTAACATTCAGCTAAGAACCCATCAGAGTCTGGGGAGGGGGCTTGCACACACCACAGTGTTTTGGGGTAAATTGAAGACTACCAGATCTGTGTCTTATATACTGAGTCTTTACTGTGTCAAAAATGTGTGTTATCAAAGAGCTAACAACACAACATGTGGTTTTTGTCCACTACTTTTTGGAACTGTGTATCCTTCCCTTCTGTATCTTAGATGATGTTGATCCAGCCCTTAGATATGGAAATCAGAATGTTCAGTATGTCTAGATGGTTACATGACCTTTTGTTATCCCCTAGTACCTATGTCCTTCACAAACTCACGGATTTTACAGTCATTGACTTCTGCCTGCTGCAGACAGGACAGATTGTCCCGTCACACAACACTAGGAAATGAAACCAGATCTCATAAACTCTCATGCCATGCATCTTAAGCTACCCCTTTAGCCCAATATCTTTCTGCCCTTACTAAAGCGATCTCTCAGATCTCAACTCTGTGCATCAGGCAAAGCTATTTCAATGCTAGCATATGTTTCCTGTAGTACTCTAACAGTCCCACTCAGAGGATGTCTAAACAAAGCAGTGGTTAAAATGCTGCAGGCTGTCACCACCTGTCTGTATTCCACAGCAGCAGTCTCCCTTGCTGCTGAACAGGTAGTGGAAAGGCCAGGAACTGGGAGCAAATGAAAATGGAAAAAAAATAAAACGTGTGACTATTAGATGTCCTTTCATGTTAAAACAGATATCTGCAATAACATTGTAAGGATCTGCTGCTGCAAGCATTTCTCAGCTCCTGGGCTTCCATAGCACCTGCCCCAAGAGGTCAGTCAGTTGACCAAATGCCAATGGATGACTCACCCTGGAAATGGTACAGTTATTATGGGAAACACAAGGCCTCAGCTCCATCTCCTCACTACTGCTCTGAAAGCAGCCAGCCATCACCTCTGTAAGACCTGTGAAGGAGGATAATGCAAACCCCAGCCCTTTTCCTCAGGACTGTCGACATTACCTGCAATGGAGGGTGTGAACTGCTTTGACTGATCCTAGGAACACTGCCACACCTATAAACCATGGGCGAAAAATCCAGGCTGGGCAAGAAGCTACCAGAGACAATAAAAGATTATTCCTTGCTGAAAAGGACGTATTTCAGAAGCAGTTTCCCAATGCAAGAACTGCAGTGTTTGGTACCTGGAGGGTATGGGAGCTACTGTTTCCCAACCCTGAACAACAGCTGGAAGATGTTAGGACACATTTCTGAAGTTAGAACCAAACACAGCAAAAGGAAGCCATTCTGATGGTGCAGGTAGAAAAAGAGAACCTTTATTACAAAATAAATAAATAAATAAATAAATAAATAAAAGTAATGATGTAGAAAGAATAGCTTTCCATTCACACAGGATGTTTTCCCTTGGGAAAAAATAATAATAAATAAATAAATAATGTCATAACTAACTTGGAAATAGTTTTGCTAGCACAAACCAGAAGTTTTACATTACATGGTCTAAAGCTGCAGCTCCTCAATTCATTTTCATTTTTTCATTTCAGTTTTACCAAGCTCTTTCAGCAAGAAGCAGTGAACCAGCTGCAGTTTTGCCAGCCCTGCCCAGGGCTGCTTGCTCTCCTCACAGCTGGGATCTGTACGCTGCAGCTGCTCTCTCATGCCCACAAGGATGCTAAAAGTACAGGGCCTTCTGCTGAAGGCACAAGATACCTCATGTCTGATACCCTGGAAAAATATATGTTAAAGCCCAGTTCAAATCTGACCACTCTGCTCTAAAATCTGCCTTTACATGCAGGCGAGTAAGGCAGATAAGAGAGCTAAGAATAAACCAAGAAGCATATGAGGCACAGCACATGCAATGCAGGCAGCTATATCCTAGCAGGACAGACTAGGCAAGCAGATGCCCTCTCCAGCTGAAAACAAACTTAAATCATTCCCAAACTTAGTGTTGGCAATGCTGGGCACAATTTTCTTGTACTTCATTATTAAAGTCCAAGGATCTGTGTCATGATCCAATTGAATTAAGCAGTGTTATTTGCTACAAAGCTTAGCCAGTGGTAAATACTGCAAGTAAGTTGCTTCTCAAAATGTGATAACAAAATGCACAATGTGTCCCATCATACCCCACTCCAAAAAATCTTTTATATAAGGCAATTTATTGAACAATGCCCCTCTTAGACGCTCACAAAGCATTTGTTCCATCGAACTTAAACTTCCAGTAATTTCAACCACATTCCTTTTACAGGAAATTTTTGAAAAAAAAAAATGAATTTTTAATCTTTTTTTTTGTAATTAATTATAAAAACTATTCCAGAAAAATAAAAAATAAAAAAGAGTAAATAAATTCAATCTTAACTCCTCATCACACATGCTGGAGGAAAGGGAAGCCATCCAGAGGGACCTGGACAGGCTTGAGAGGTGGGCTTGTGCAAACCTCATTGGGTTCAACAAGGCCAAGTGCAAAGCCCTGCATTTGGGTCAGGGCAATCCCAAGCACAAACACAGGCTGGGTAGAGAATGGATTGAGAGCAGCCCTGAGGAGAGGGCCCTGGGGGTGTTGGCTGCCAGCTCAAGGAACAAGAGACAGCAATGTGTGCTTGCAGCCCAGAAAGCCAACTGCATCCTGGGCTGCATCAAAAGAAGTGTAAGCAGCAGGGCAAGGGAGGGGATTTTCTCGCTCAGCTCTGCTTTCATGAGGTACCACCTGGAGCCCTGCATTCTGCTCTGGGCGCCCGACATAAGGACATGGACCTGCTGGAGTGGGTCCAGAGGAGGGGTACAAGGATACTCAGAGGGCTGGAGCATCTATCCTGTGAGGACAGGCTGATGAGGGAGCTGTTTTTGTTCAGTCTGGAGAAGAGAAGGCTCTGGGGACACCTTCCAGTACCTAAAGGGAGCCATCAAGAAAGCTGGAGAGGGACTCTTGGTCAGGGGGTGTGGCGATAGGACAAGGGGGAATGGCTTTAAACTGAAAGAAGGGAGATTTAAATTAGATATAAGGAATAAATTCTTACTAGAGAGCGGTGAGGCACTGGCACAGGCTGCCCAGAGAAGCTGTGGGTGCCCCATCCCTGGAGGTTTTCAAGGCCAGGCTGGAGGGGGCTTTGGGCAGCCTGGGCTGGTGGGAGGTGTCCCTGCCCATGGCAGGGGGTTGGGACTGGGTGTTCTCCAACGTCCCTTCCAACCCAAACCATTCTATGATTCTGTGATTTTTAAGTGATGCGTCCAGTTTGGTACATCTTTTACCTTAGACTCTCATTAGCTCACAGGCTCAGTGATACAGACCTGATCTTAGTGTAGTCATTTCCACTTGCCAATGTGTAATGTTCCATGTGAGAATAGAGGGGCATTACACCCATTTTGTCCAGATGGACCTATGTATTTTGGATCAGTAAACAGACATAACTTTGTTATCTCACTATGCAGAAGACTCTAGCGACTGCTGCTGAAACAAGCATCCTGCTTCTCAGCATCATTACAAAAATTTCATTCAGTTGAACTTAGTAGGGTTACAATAAGACAAAACTGATGTGAAAGGGTGATAATCAGATGCTTAAACTCTTTTAGATGCTACCTGGATCTGCCACTTGCAGCAAACTGCCAGTCCAAACTATTTTAAGCCAGATTCCAAGGACATCACTTGAGCCAGTCTCCTCTGCAATTAACTTCAAGGACTGCCTGACTACTTCAGAACTTGGCACAACAAGTGTGGCACGTGTACAAGAGGCAGAGATTTCTTTAACAAATTCACCAACACTGACTTGCAGTTTAATTGCAGTTAAAGCACAGCTTGTCTTTATTATCTTATTATGGCAAGCTCTGTGGAATTCAATTAAGGTATCTATTGTACTGGTGAAAATTTAAAACTGCACGCCAGTGCTCTGAAAGGGTCATAACATAACTACAGTTCTATCCACTACTCCACCCTCTATTCACTCCAGCCAAACTTTCGATAATCTTAATGACAGATTTGCCAGACTGAGAGTAAATTAGTGCTGAATACAGCTTGTTTGATCTTCCTTTATCTAAAGTGTGCCCTGCCATCTAGTGGCAACGATATTCCAAAAACACCATTTCATTATTTCAGAAGGCAAATCTCCAATGGAAACCTTTCCAGTTCCTCATTTACATGCATCAGAAATAATTACAAAGCAGTTGCAAAATATTGTACACTACAAATCATATTCTCAAGACTTATGTAGATAGGGAGTAAGGAAAAATGCAAAGTGAAAAACGAATCTCCCCAATCCATATTACATTGAAATACAGGATCAGCTTTTACATGCAGTTCTGTAGCATACATTAAATATGAAGTCTTTTTTCTAGTTAAGTGTCAATGAGAGATTCATGAATCATATCTTCAGAGAACCAAACCATTGCATACTTTTCTTCCATATACAGTTTTCTCAACCTAGTTGCTCTAAAGCTAAAGTAGGAGTTACAGACCACATGCTGATAGCAGTCATTCAGAAGGAAGTGAGTGGAGGTGGAAGAGATTAATGAGGGGTATATAAGAATGCTGAAGTACAAGCACAGTATAACTATGTCACACCCAGCTATGTCACAAACTGACACCTCTATTCCAGAAAGGTCACTTCTGTCATTTTCCTTGGCCCCAGCCAGACATTCTCATGCTCATGCCTACGTAACAGCTTCAACTCCCTGTTGAGGACGTGCTGAAAACTCGTGTTTTGCAGCGCTGCATGACTGCTAGTGCTGACTTGAGAGGAGGTGGGGAACATGTGACTGGAAAGGAGAAGGAACTGAGAGCTGCCATTGAGACACCAAGATCTTTATGCCAGCTATGAAACTGTACCCTCAGTTTCAGATCCACTATACATTAATGTCAAGCAGCTTTGTTGTACTGGGTCTGATTGAAACGGAGTCAACCGTCTTCAGAGCAGCCCATATGCTACTGTGTTTTGGATCTGTGACTGAAACACTGATAAGACACAAACTTTTTGGTTATTGCTGAACAGTGCTTGTACAGCATCAAGGCTTTTTATTTTTCTTTACTCTACCCCCTCCCCCCCTCCAGCAAATAGACTTGGATGGGCAAGAATTTAGGAGGGAAGAAAGGCAAACAGGACAGCTGACCCAAACTGGCCAAAGGGATATTCCATACCATAAAATGTCACACTCAGCAATAAAACCTGGGGATGGGGTGCAGTGTTTCCCTAGGTAGTCACTGGAGCTGTTGCTTGGAGACTGGCTAAGCATCAGTCTGCTTGTGGGAGGTGATGAGCGATTGCCTTTGCACTACTTTGTTTTTTGTTTTTGTCCTTCACTTATAAAACTGTCTTTATCTCAACCCACAAATTTTCTTGCTTTTGCTCTTTGTATTATCTCCTGCCACACGTAGGGGGGCGTGAGTGGCTGTGTGGGTGCTCAGCTGCTGACTGGGATCAACCCTCGACTCCACCTCGACACCAGATTTTTATAGCAGATATTCACCAACAGTTCAGAGCTGACAGTTCAGTCTTTTGCTCTGTTGATAATGAAACAAGATGCTGAAATTGCACCTACAAGACAAGGTGAAGCTCAGAGTGTTGTTATTGTGTTGCTTTGTTTTTTATTATGCTGCTGTTCCTGACTGGGCAGTTAAGAGAATAGTTTTGCTGTGCCCATTGGGACTCAAACACATAGACTTAGCTTTCCACCAAATCTTTTCATTTCTGGAAAGGAGCATTGTGTTCAGTGTTAGTGGCTTCAAAGATGGTAGAAACTTCTTTTCTCCCTCAGAATATTTATCTAGATCACAAAGATGAGATAAGAATTAGTGAGCACTCACCCGTCTTTAAGCTGAATGAGCTGACGGCTAAGAAAGCAATCCAGAACCCAGAGATGTTTTTGGGTGGTAGCACACCAAGTCATCTGCTTCTTCACGGAGATCATGTATCTTACAGCCATTTATACAAATACTTTGATCTGCTGTTATAAGAGAATGGGTCCCTTTAAGAATGCCCAACAGAAAAGTGAGGTAGAAAGAAGCAGGGATCATAGAATCATTTAGGCTGGAGAAGACCTTTAAGATCATCAAGTCCAACCATCCACCTAACACTACATAAATTATAGCTATTGGTGAGAACCAAGATGTTGCTTATTTAGTAGCAGAGTTGAACTGCTCTACTGCTCTTTGTCACTGCTCTGACTGAAATGGGAATAAATCCAAGCAGTTGTGCAATATTCCCCATAAAGATACAGGACACTTGGTCGCCTATACAATTTGAAGCTACAGATACCACATAAGAAGTACCATCTCACCTAACTGTTCTGGGTGGAGGCTAAGAATCTCTAACATGACTGACCAGGATACACAAGAACAGTCACTCTAAGAATAATGAAAAACTTGTCAGGTTTGCAGTCTTCAGAACAATCAGTATGTTGGAAATACTGGGGATGGGGAGGTGGCAGAGCATTATCCAGCTGCAGTTTGTAAAGGAAAAATGAACTAGAAAATTCATTATTTCCCTGCCCCTTAAATCATCTTGTTACTTCACATAGTTTCCCTTATACAGAAACACAACATGTGTGCCTTGAATGAATTCAGCTGCAGGCACTGTGAAAAAGGGTGCTTGAGGAAACATTGTTAGGAAGTTAAAATTCTATGTCCCCACTGGTAGATGGTTCTGAATAAAGAAAATCATTCTCACCTGCACGCTGTTGTTGCCTGAAGCTCTTGCTGACTAATCACCTCTCTTCAACTTGTCATTTTTTCTGAGAAAAATTAAAAGGCAAAATAACACTAAAAAGTCACAATTTTATACACCTTGAAAGCAAATGAGCCCTAGGTTAGTAAAAGCATTGACCTATTTTAACCAGAGATACCATCACTTGGAGAAAGAGTCTAACTCCATTTCAAATATGTTGCCTACCCTACATGGTAAGTGGAAAATCATCTCCCTTCTCCCTCCCATTACACAGCTCCAGCCCACAGAATACTCTGCACTGCACAAGAATGGCAGAAGACTTAATGGTGCTTACAAAAATACCACTTTAAATAAACAACATATCAGAGATCTCATACAACCCAGTACTGCAGTGAATCACTTAGGATGCTTCACTGACATGTTTCAAACTAAACATTTACTTCTGAACCAGTCCCCTGTGACTAGAACTCCTCCAGAATAAAGACTATTGCACTGAGAAAGTCCCCAGTCTCCAGATCAGAAGATCAGCAATAAATATACCATGTGATATCCACACTAATGTTTTCTAGGCGTGCTAAACCCCAACTGTAGGGCAGTGGCAGCATTCTGGGGCCCAGTGGCTGGTGTTTCTTGTGACTTGGGCAGAATTCAGCAGAATACCCACCCATCTGGGTAGCCAGATGACAAGGTTTCTAAATTGTCAAGGATTCTCTTCCACAAGGAATATTTCCACCCAGCTCTTTAAGCCAGTTATCTGACAGCTTCATGTTGCAGGAGGAATGTAAAGGTAATAGGGACTTAGGATTTCTCTATTGACCACTCTGCCTGTGGTTTGTCTGTTCCTGTAAAGGACTGAAGATAGATGAGGGTCTGTAGAGCAACTCATAGTAAGAAAACAAAACAAAACAAAAAGGGGGGGGGGGGGGGGGGGGGGGGGGGGGAAGGGGAAAGGGGGAAAAAAAAGAAAGGGAAGACCTGGCCTATGTGGCAATCATTACCATTGTTCTAGTCAACCTTGTCCTCCTGCCATCCTGGCTGAGGTGCAAATATAGTTTGTGCAGATCAGCATCCCAGCCAGCCAATGGTATAGTCTCTTTCCTCTCTCTTCTGCTTTGGGAGCCTGGGAAATGAAGGTAATGAAATGGAAAGGAAAGTTAAATGGGAATTTTTACTGGTTCAGTATCTTTTCCCAGACTGGCCCAGACTTCTGGCCTGATTATTGTCTGTAACACAATAACAAAACGCCTCATCTGGAAAAGACATTTGAAGCTGCAGTTCTGAATGTTAAAAAGATTCACCAGAAATTAAAATACTAGCTCCTGAAGGCAGGGGGAGCCAGTGAAGAACCTCACAGCTACACTGTTCACTTCAAGAAATCATTAATTAGCTCACACATACATGTATTTTGATAGAAAATTTGACTTATTTTAACATTCATAACCTGGTTGCATAAACAGGTTACCACAAACATCTGTACTCTGTACAGCAAGTTGTTAAATTGCAGACAGGATTAATGATTGGAGTTACTTTTGTTTGTTTGTTTTTGTTTTTTTTAAGAGTAGGGTCACAGGGTTATTGATCTGTTCTGCCTTTATTTACAGTTTTTACTACCAGGGGCAGAATGCAGAATACAACAATTTTATATTTTTTACAATTTTATATTTTTAGGTACTGGTCAGAAATTGAGAATTTTATTTTTTCTTTGAAAGGGAGCCACCAGTTGTGCTCCTTAAGCCATACTGAGAATCGAGCTTCTTTAGCTAAATCAGAAACCCCCAGAGTATGGACAGTATGACTGAGGCAAACACTAAGATGAGAATCAAGGTTTAATATTATCACGTATTTTGGGAAGTGAAGCGGTGATCTCCCTGAATCACATACCACAAGCCCATTTGTTTCAACAGGGTCCTGAAATCAGCCTAGATGCAGCTGTTATGTGCCAGAGCCTCAAGCACAGCTCTTAAAAGCTGCCAGGGATATCTGCAGTTGTGCAAGGGTTCAGGGCTACCCATGCTCCAAGTCTGGCAAGGTTGCATGGCATTAGGACTAGGAAATGCCCCTTGATGGCATTTCCCTCCAGTTCTGATGGAAATATCATATTACTTCCGTTTTGCTTCCACAACGATTCACAGATTAGCTATGGGAAAAAAGTCCCAGGCACCTCTGTGCACCCGTTACTCAAACAAGAGTCATCCTGGAAGACTGTAGCTTTCTACACAACTTTATCTCAAGTGCTAGTAAGTAAGGGATTCAACAATTCTATGTAATAATAAGAAAAATATCAGTTACAAAAGCCTGATTTAGTGATAGAAATTTCTTCCTCTGCATCTCTCGTGCACATTAAAATACAAACAGCATGCCAGACAGGATGATTTCTGGGGCACAAGTTGCTTTGCAAAGCTGTGAAAACTCTGCCTGCTAAAAAAAGAATAAAATTATTAGCTGTATTCTGTTGCTACAAATGTAAGTGCTAGAGAAGAGATGTGGGTGAGTTCCAACTGGCTGAAGCACTCTGTGAAATGAGAAGATGAAATAATTCACGTATTCACATGCTGAAGCTTCCTTAATCACATTTTGTGGAATTTTAATGTCTCCTTTTTCATTTTTTTTTTCTGGAATTCCAACAGCAGAGGGCAGTACTATAACCTGGTTCGGGTTAAAAGACCCTTCCGTAGGGCTGGCTTTGCTGTTTATCAGGAAGGTTATTCCAGGATACTCCTCTGACACTGGGCACAGGCCCAGCACTTAGAGGCCCTGTCTACTTAGTAGGTATCTCTGGCTTCCCGAGTCACCCCAGCTATGGAAGGCCATGGATCCTGGGTGCTGTCCCAGCCCGACCTATTCAGGAGAAAAATAATCCCACTTCAGAAGGCCAATGCTAAAATAAACCCACGCTTGCTGGAGAGCAGAGAGGCGGCAGGGAAGAGGAGCCTATGTAAATGCCTGCTTCTCACCCTCTGATGTAGGAGACCTCCTGCCACCCCCTTTACTACTGGTCAGAGCTGAGAACAACCTCCCCTGCTGAGCAGTGCCCAGTAGGAGAAAGTGCACAGCTTTAGGTTAGTTTTCCCCTAAGCTGTGTCAGTGAGATCCCTGCTACTCCCTGGAAATGAGGGTGTTTTAGACGTGGAGGAGAATGGGAGGAAGTGAAGAGTGCTCTCCTTAAGACCCTTTTACAGCATTATATTCATTGATGCTTCCTTATAATACAACTGTACCTGATAGATATATTAATTTCAAGCAATATGCCAACATTTATGAATGTATATTAATAGAGTACCCTCCTTTCTTTCTTATGACTTATAAAAAAAAGTACTAAAAGGTCTCTTTTCCCTTTGAATTTGGGACAGGTAGTGCTTCTCCTGTGCTCCTACACTAGACGTATCCCTAAAAACAGTGCTGCCCTAAGAATGACTGAAATACAGATTATGTTTTTGTCACACTGAGGTAACATAGCACATAATCTAATTGTTTCCTGACTTCTGCTTCCATCCCCATCATTTCTTCCCTCTCATATCTGGTACACCAGCTCAGCTGGGCAAATTCAAAGCCGAAGGAATTTCTGGAACTGCATCTTTTCCATAGTGAGTTCTGAAGCAGTAAGATACCCCATAAACACCATTTGCTGTTTTAAATCAGTCTTGGGTAAAGGTATCTTTTGCCTAGTTTAAACAGTTTGTGAAGAAAACTGCCTGGTATAGCCAAGGATTCCAGCCGGTGGAAAAAAAAAATGTTCTCTATCAAAGTTCTCTATCAGTAATCGTATGTTTCCAATTACTTCAACAGACAGTGCTCTAGGTAAATTCTAACTTATTTCCAGTCTTCTACTGAAGTGACTTCTTGGAAGCTAACTATGCCTATAGACACTTTGAATGTTCTAGTTTTGATCAGTTAAATCAGAACACCATATTTTCTGGAACAACAGCCATACTCCTTCCTTTCTAACACAACCTGAAACTAGGTTGCAGACATACACATCTATTCTTAACAACTACTCTTGCTTCAATGTGGGGGTATTCCATTCACAGGGACAGCACAAGTGTGGGAGCAAATACGGTAAACTGTTACATGATCAGGCGTATCTGATAAGGCTAAACTCTCTATTAACCAAGTCCCTTAACATAATTTTTACTAGCATAATCAAAGTACCTCCTCAAATGAAGTAGCCTGTATCAGAAAAAGAACTCCTTTGTCAGTACAAATTGCATCTCCATATTATAGACAGAGAGATGCATGTGTAGCTCTGTAAATCAGGGGTGTGCTTTTTCCATATCCTTGCACATTTAGCTACATTTTTAACAATGTGTGGTGCGGAGCTGACCTTAATTTGTCATATTCTTGCAAAGTACAGAGAGATTAATACTACATTTTATTATAAAAATGTGTCTGGCATATATAATTAGTGCTATTTGTGTTATAATAATAATAATGTATTTGTGAACGATTATCCAGTACATAGAGTGAGAAGAAGTCACTGAGCAATATTATTTTTTCATTCATTGCTTAATTGAAAATAAACTCAAATTCCTATTAAAATTGCTGTGGTAATAGCTGTTGTAAATATGTGTAACAGTGACATCTACACTTAATGCTTGTAATTGTTCTTGTAATACAAAAATATGATTATCTTATTTTGCTATTGTAATGCAGGTTATCTGACAGCACAAAGCTGTGATTCAGTTAAAAATATATTGCTGTCAGAAACTGTTTCAGTGTGCCTTACCCATATCTGAAAATAAAATTAGTGTCAGCAAGAAAATTGTTAACTAGGTACTTTATTATTTAACTCTGAACAACAATGAGGT